GCAACTTCTCGCGCAAACACGTAGAGGGTTTGATCCGAGTTTGCGAGGAGCTGCAGCTGCCGCTCATTGCGGACGAAATCTACGCTGGCATGGTCTTCAAGGACAAGGACCCCAACGTCTGTTTCACCTCCGTGGCTGAGTTCGACACGCCAGTGCCACGCTTTGTCGTGGGCGGTCTGTCGAAGAACTTCATGCTACCCGGGTGGCGTCTTGGTTGGGTGCTGCTCGTCGACGCCGCCGGGTGTGCAAAGGATCTTCTCCGTGCGATGCACAACATAAGCAGCATCGCGTTGGGGCCGAACCACGTGGTACAGGGGGCGCTGCCGGATATTCTTGCCAACGCGCCGGATTCATACTTCGCGAGGTGCACGGAAGAGCTGAGGGTGAATGCGGTGGCGCTCGCGGATGCGATTCACACGTGCCCCGGTCTCTCGTGTGTGGCTCCGCAGGGGGCAATGTTTATCATGGTCAAGATTGATTTATCACTATTCCGCGACATCGGGAACGACGTGGAGTTTTACGAGAAATTACACGATGAGGAAAACGTACAGGTGGCGCCCGGATCCTTCTTCCACATGCCGAACTACTTCCGCATCGTCGTGTATCGACCGAAGAATGTCACCGATGAGGCCATCAGGCGTATCCGCGACTTCTGCGTTCGGCACCAGAAGACTTGACATTCTGACCGTAGCATGGCGACTGACGGCGTAGTGAGAGGCGGTAAGGAGGAGTCGTAGTGGAAAGGTTTTTGCTTTTTGTTTCTTTCGTGAAGTAGGAGTGTGTGGTGCCCGCCCACCCCCCTCTAAGAGGAGAAGTGGGAGAGGAGAGGGCCACGCAGGAGTGTATATATATATATATATATGCTTTGTGTATATGGGTGGGGAGTGCCCAAATTCGTTTTAGGTCTTTTTTTTTTTCTTACTGTTTCGTCCCTACCGCAAAGAAGCAACCAAAACTGTCACCAAGCGAGGAGGGGGCGTGACGCCCAGCGTCGCCGTCAGCTACGCCGCACCCACGCACGCCTTCCGCTTCTTTTCTTGTCATCCTCCGCCATTTTTTGTCCTCGGTATTATTTCGCAACAACAACAACACAAAACGCAACCACAAAAAAAAAAGGGTAATCTCACATCATTCTATTCTATTAACATTTTACCAGCAAACAGACAAGAACAACACCGCGTCATCATTGTGCAAATGGCAGTCAAGATCGGCATCAACGGTTTTGGTCGCATCGGCCGCATGGTGTTCCGCGCGGCGCAGCGCCGCCAGGACGTGGAGGTCGTCGGCATCAACGACCTGCTTGACGTCGAGTACATCGCATACATGCTCCAGTACGACTCGACGCACGGCCGCTTTGAGGGAACGGTGGAGGTGCAGAAGGGGGCGCTCATTGTGAATGGAAAGAAGATCCGCATCACGAGCGAGCGCGACCCCGCGAACCTCAAGTGGGGCGACATCGGCGTGGAATACGTCGTCGAGTCGACCGGCTTCTTCCTCACTGAGGATGTCGCGCGCAAGCACATTGAGGGTGGCGCGAAAAGGGTTGTCATGACGGGACCGCCGAAGGACGATACGCCCATGTTCGTGATGGGCGTGAACAACACGACCTACAAGGGCCAGGCGGTCATCTCAAACGCGTCGTGTACGACGAACTGCCTCGCGCCGCTGGCAAAGGTGGTCCACGACAAGTTTGGCATCGTGGAGGGCCTCATGACAACGGTGCACGCCATCACCGCGACACAGAAGACAGTGGACGCCCCATCGCAGAAGGACTGGCGCGGCGGTCGTGGTGCTGGGCAGAACATCATCCCCTCCGCTACCGGCGCCGCCAAGGCGGTGGGGAAAGTCATCCCCGCACTTAACGGCAAACTGACAGGCATGGCGTTCCGCGTGCCGACTCCCAACGTGTCGGTCGTCGACCTCACCGTGCGGCTGGAGAAGGCGGCCACCTACGCGCAGATCTGTCAGGCCGTCAAGGCGGCGTCGGAGGGCGAACTCAAGGGCATCATGGGCTACACAGAAGATGAAGTGGTCTCGACCGACATGAACGGCGTCGCCCTCACTTCCGTCTTCGACGCCAAGGCCGGTATCTCGCTCAACGACCACTTCGTCAA